AATTTTTTATTTAAGAAAAATATCATACAGGTTATATTTATGTTCTAGAATTAAATCAAGATGATTTTCATTCCAATAAATTTTTCCCATTGTTCGCATATCCACCATAGTCAGACCTTTACTTTCTTCCTCATTCCAATAGCTAACATAAATGAATTCTCCAATGTAGAAATTTACATCATACCAACCATCATTTACATTATCGAGAAACTGTAAAAATTCCTCAAATTCATTGAAGGTGAATGGTGTTGAATGTTGAATTCTTTCGGTTAGTTTGCAGCTCATACCCTAGAGAAAGACTAAACTTATTCGACTAAGAGGTCTGTATTTATAGAAAAGAACTTAATTATTTAAAAAAGTTTATTAGGTACTTACACAATATAATTATACAATAAATTCTTAATACTACATGGACTTAAAATAATTTTATGATATTAACAAGCTATTATCCAGCCTGGATCCTACACTGTCCAAAAAATTCTAAATTCGCTCTAGTTAGATAAATTAGGTTTAGTTTAGTATACAATCTAATAATAAAATCTTTTAAATATGTCCTTTAACGTAAACAGAACCTTGAGCATCCAAAACCGCAAACGTTCTACTTTTCTGTTGAATGTTTCATAGTGTCGAATGTTTCATAGTGTCTGCTTAGATCAATGTTCGAACATTACCGGATAAAGGTAAGTATTCAAAAACTCGATCATGTACGATAATACAACAGGCTCGTGTATCTTCCGAAAAATTCTCTGAGCTTTGGAACTCTAATTTGACATCAGTCGTGTTGCTTTTGAGGGATTCGTTCTGTTTTGAGCAGTCTATAACAAATAATGCCCTGTTGGCAAAATTGGGAAGGTCCAGCAATGGTTCACTATTGGTTTTACCCAAATACGTGTTTTGAAATTCGGTATACATCCGGTATGCTTCTGCAAACTGTTTGTCATCGAAATTAAGATTCAGTGATTCATACGGATAAACTTCAGAGTTTAGATACAGCTTGACATCTGTTATATCCAAATTATCGAAAAGAGTAATATCATACCGAGGATTATCTTTTCGTTTTTTCTGGAAAAAGACTATGACATATCTAGCTCTCTCAGACATGGATTTCACAGTCCACACGTCTCGCTTGGATTTTCTCAATGTAGGTAACTCATGAATCTCCCAACTTCTGAATGGAATAAATATGGGTTTGTTGTTCGAAATATCTTCCAATAATTTCAATTTTAAAACATCGTTTGGATAAATGTGCCTCACCCTCAATTCTACTGTGTCTAAAGTAATTTTTGCTGTTTTATCTCCAGTCGTATTGATGTAACAGTTATCATCATTTCTAGCTCTGACAAGTTTTATTTTCTGTCTTCCCATAATAGCCTTATTGTAATCGGAAAAGATATTCAGTAAAACTTTCAAGGGTATTAGAAAATTGAATTTATCCCCCGCTAAAGATTTTACTGTTCCACTAGGCCAATTCCATCCAGCTCGTTCGAGTGCTCTACTTTCTTGATCATTGAGGCATAGCAGGTTTCTCACTGTGCTGGTAAGCCCCGGATCTCGAATTTTATCAATTTCCTTGCCATTTAATTCATAAGCGATGGATTCAAAAAGGAATGCGCCTGCATTAATTGTTAGATTACATTTTCCTGTCTTTCCAGCGGTAACGTCTTCATTAAACTTTCCTTCAATGTAGACTTCGGCTTGGCTGATATCTATAAATGCATCTTGTTGATTGATAACAATTTCTATTTCATCACTATAGTTGAAGGCATTAGTGAAGGGGTGGTAAGTATGCCATTCCTCTCTCGCTACAGACTCATCGGTGTTGACCGACTGAAATATTTGCAGTTTTCCTGATACGATATCCATATTTGGAAGTTAGAGATCTCAACCCAATCAAACTTTTATGTGTGAGCGCTTGCTTTGACGGTTGACTGCAGACTGAGCTCGAGTTATTAACACCACTGTTTAAATAGTCACCAGTTTTATTAAAAACCAGGACCATATTTCTTAAGCTCTAATCTCACTATGATCTCCTCTCCTCGGAAATTAACTGGCCGTCCTTCTTGATCAAGTATATTAATTGTTATATTATCTATACTGTCCCTATTGATAGGTAGATATATCAAGTTTCGAGGATCTATTATAATTCGGTATCCAGGATCCACAGCTGGAGTAAATTCGTATATCGTATGTGAAGGATTACTATTGAAGTAGGAACCAGAGATGATGTTGCACTCTATCCGTATACTAGCCACCGATATTATCTCAACTGGCAGATCGGATTCGTGTAGATAATTCTTTTCCAGAGATTTTTCTGAAAATCCCAAAAGTTTTCCTATACTATCCTCAGGCTTGAAATTAATATCATATATAGCCTTTAGTTCACACTTCAATGTATTGTTGTTTGGTTTAAGAGAAATATTTTCTGTTGTAGTCGTACTTAATTGTTTTTGTAGATAGGCTTCAATATCGGTAACCTCGTACGACCCGGTTGGGATTTCTATTATTTGTTGTTTTCCTGTAACGCTATAGTAGAACTTGTTTCGACCTGGTTCAATGTTGGGAATGGAATTCCACGTACTGAGTGAGATGAGAGCTAATGAATAGTTATAACTAGAATCAAGCTTGATGGGTGGTGTAATATCAACACTCAAGCGACTTGTTCGACCTTTCAACGTGAATGTCTGAGACATGACTGAAATAAAATCAAAACACAATTGCTTTTTATAGATTTATTAAACAAAAAACCAAGTACAAGATGTCCACAATTGTAGGAGTTATATGACTGATACTGATCATAGTTGAAAAGTATCTTACAATTTTTAAAATAACGAACGAGTTCTTTTGGTGGATTTAGGTTCCCAAAACTATCAAAGTAAACAACAGTGTTTTCCTTTTTCTTATAAGCTACCCAATGTGATCCCGATCCCATATTCGTATCCAAATTAAGAACCCCGCATTCGGTTTTCTTTGAAGACGATGGTAAGGTATCTCGCATAAACACGCCTCTAAAATTGAAAATTTTAAGTTTTTTAACGTATCGCTTGATATCTTGATCACTTAGTGGACGATCGGGTAGCTTTATTGGAAGTTTTTTGACATCTTTTTCAGGTAAAGTCCATATCCGGTCTTGTGTTTACTAAGATATAATCCACTCCCTTTTTTTCCTAACGCAATAGCTTCCATCATTTCGTTGTGTCGTTTGGACTCGACAAGTTTATCTTTCGCAGAACGAGCGTCATTCACTGCTTTTGCCACCCCTGCCGCGCCCCCACTTAAAGCGCCCAGCGCGCTAAGTCCGGCAAACAGAGGTATAAGAGGAATAATTCCACCTACTTTTGGTACTGGGATAACTCGTGGAACTCGAATCTTTTTGGGTCCACCAGCTTCTTTGATTGTCTTACGAGCTGCTTGAAGCGCCGATTTAATAAATTCTTTTATTCCTCTACCACGATGCTTTACTTGCTTTCTAATATTAGCCACAACATAGGATTTGAATGGTTTCAAACTTTTCGATCGAGCCATGCTGAGTTTACGTTTAGTTTTCTTCTAACCGAAATTGCGAAATCCTATCCTTTCACCCGTTCCCACGATATATTTTTTAGCACTTTATCTGGCCGATGTCTGTGTTGTAGATCCGTGAATTTCAAAAGAAAGCTTGTTGATGTAGCTATTTAAAGGACCTACACTCGATGGTGTATTCATTAAGAATGAAACAGAGGTAGAGTGAACATTGTTTATATACGATGCGGAAGATGAAGCAGAAAATCAACATAAAGATCGATAACTTTGACATTAATAAGTCCACTAGTGTTAGAAAGAGACATGGAGAACTTTTACCAAACACAATTAGAGCAATAATATGCGGGCCAAGTAATTCAGGGAAAACAAATGTTATGCTTAGTATGTTAACCGATGAGAATGGACTTAGATTCCGAAATGTATATGTATATTCCAAGTCATTGGACCAAGAGAAGTATAAGTTTCTGAAAGAGGTGCTCAACCGTGTTGCTGGTATAAACTTTTATGGATACAGTGATAATGAAACCGTTTTAGATCCGCAAACAGCTAAGTCAGATTCGGTGTTTATATTCGATGATGTGGCTTGTGAGAAGCAAGACAAGATAAGAAACTATTTTTGTATGGGCCGCCATAATGCTATTGACTGTTTTTATCTTTGTCAGACGTATTCAAAAATACCTAAGCAATTGATTCGTGATAATGCAAATATGATTATAGTATTTAAGCAGGATGACACGAACCTGAAACATGTGTACGACGATCACGTTAACACAGATATGTCTTTAAATACGTTTAAAACTATTTGTTCTGAATGTTGGAAAGATAAATATGGTTTCTTAGTCATTGTTAAAGATGATGATATCACGAGCGGTAGATATCGAAGTCAGTTCAACACCTATATATCTCCATAGAAGACAAATTCTCCTCAGTATCCCTTAAGACGTCGCTGTGTACAGACCCCTGCAATAGCTGTACCATAGCTGTCTCTGAACTAGTGTAGCTGTCTAAAAGCTGTCTCCTACCCTGCATAGCTGTCTAAAAGCTGTCTCTAGACCTGTATAGCTGCCTAAAAAAGCTGTCTTCTGACCTGTATAGCTGTCTAAAAAGCTGTCTCCGGACCTGTATAGCTGTCTAAAAAGCTGTCTGCTGACCTGTAAAGCTGTCTCTAGACCTGTATAGCGGTATACGGACCTGTATATAGCTGTATACAGACCTGTCTCCGGTCCTGTATAGCTGTCTAAAAAGCTGTCTGCTGACCTGTAAAGCTGTCTCTAGACCTGTATAGCGGTATACGGACCTGTATATAGCTGTATACAGACCTGTCTCCGGACCTGTATAGCTGTCTAAAAAGCTGTCTGCTGACCTGTAAAGCTGTCTATATACCTGTATAGCGGTATACGGACCTGTATATAGCTGTATACAGACCTGTCTCCTGATCTGTGTAGCAGTATAAAAGACAGTGTAAAACCTGGTTGGAAATCATGGCTTCGGTTCCAAGCGAAAATGATAGGAATATCAAGAAGAAAATACTGAACGCTGCTAGATCTATAAGAAAAAAGTATTTGGCTTTAAAGCTGGAGAGAAAAGAGGAAGATGAGGCACTTGATAGGATAATAAACCCTATAACTGAACCTCTAAGAGAGTTTGTTGAGAAAACGGTTGGCAGAAAAGTCCAAGTTAAACATGAAAAAGTTAAGCTCGAAGCTCCTAAAACGTATTTTGAATCTGAACCGAAACTTCCTAGAAATGTAGAGTTCCAACCAGCAGAGATTATTGCTCAAACGAGTGAGAATTTAATAAGTGATGATGATGATGATGATGGCGCTGAGGATGTCTTTTATGAACCCTTACAACATTTAAAAGAAGATCTGCAGAAATCAATTCACGATAGATCAGGAGCGTATGAAGAATTTTTAGATCAGTATCCCAAAGTAGCACAAGAGTATGTAGATAGATACTATAAACAATCAGATGAAATAGACCATTCTTATGGCTTGAAACATGATATGAAAACCGATGATTGGTCTATGGGATCACAAAAAGTCAACTTTCTCCCGAATGGAGATATTAAAGTCGGGGCTGTATCTTATAAAGGAACGCAGGGCTTATATGATCTTTTATTTCTGAAAAAGCCGATCTATCAGACAGAGGATGATAAGTTGCAGTTTACGGATATTCTAAACAGGACCAATGTTCATCGAAGAGATTTTGATCCATCCAAACAAGTTAAAGGGTCCACATCTTCAAAATATAGACAGTTTGTTAAACCTTTGGTCTCATCATCATCTGAAGCAAAAAGGCTTAAATCAAGTAACAGTGCCTCGCCATCTGGCCGAAATCCATCTACAAGATCTCAAAATAAATCCGGAAGTGCTTTATTATTAGAATATAATGAGAAACGAAAACAATATGTTTATTACGATGACGTCAACGAATTAATTGATAGACTTGTTAAATTGGATGCATCACAAAAAGCTGGAAATACCAATAATATCAATGAGATTATGAGTATTTTAGAGGAACTGGCTGAATTGGGTGTGATTGAGTTTAATAAATAGTTCTACATGTGTTATCTTGAATCATTATAGGGTTAGCCACTTTCAAGTTTAGATCTCTTAACATTTATGTACTGTGAGTCACAACGAAAAAAAAAATGAAAACTATTACAAAGGCTAGGGAACGGGTGGTTGAAGAACTACATAAGCCAGCACGTAAAAAGTTTAATCGTAGAAGATTTATACAGTATGGTCTGGATGATACTTTTGCCACCGACTTGGCTCAGCTTGATCAGTATGCTCGAGAAAACAAGGGATTCAAGTACATATTGGTTGTTATCGATTGTTTTTCTAAATTTCTGTGGACTAGAGCTGTAAAATCGAAATCAGCGCAAGATGTCGCTAAAGCTATGGAGAGCATTTTGAAAATTTCCAGAAGAATACCCAAGAAACTTATTTCGGATAATGGAAAGGAATACTATAATATTCAATTTTCGAGTCTAATGAAGAAACATGGAATACATCATTATAGTTCGTTTAGTCCTCTTAAAGCATCTATTGCAGAGCGAGTAATTCGAACCATTAAAGAAAAGTTGTTTAAGCAATTTACATTAAACGGAAACCATAAATGGATCGATTTATTGAAGCCTGTTACCGATGCATATAATGACCGCAAACATAGCACGATTAAAATGAAACCAAGCAAAGTTACTAAAAATAATGAAAAAACACTACTTAATACTGTTTATAGTCATATTAAGGTAGCTGGAAAACAGAAATTCAAGGTCGGTGACGTAGTTCGCATAAGCAAATTCAAGCATGTTTTTCAGAAAGGATATACCCCAAACTGGACTACGGAATTGTTCCACATAGCTAAAGTGAGAATTACAAATCCAACAACATATTTGTTAGAGGACTTGCAAGGTCGGCCTATAAGTGGTGGTTTTTATGAAGAAGAACTACAGAAAACAAAACAACCTGATGTGTTTCTTATAGAACAAGTATTACGAAAGAAAGGAAATAAAATGTATGTAAAATGGTTGGGATTTGAAAAATCTCATAATAGCTGGGTTGACAGGGATAAAGATCTAGTTTAAAAGCGGATTTAAACGATTTGCAACTCATTTGTAATACTGAGTGTGAAGTATCAAGTTTGCAAAGAAAGTAGTCCTTCTCATTCACATAACTTAAGTCATAATCATAAAAATAAGTATTGTACGGTAATTTAACATGACAACACCAGCAGATATTGATTGTATGGATAGTGAAGATGAGAGCTGCTCAACCTGTTCCTCACCTAATTGGAAGTATGTCAATAGTATGTTTTTGATGAGTAAACAAGAAATCATGAAAAAATCAACATTTTTGGGGGAGACTTGTTATTCAACCAAGAATTTCAAAATAATTTCTGGAATAAGTATTGCTCGAGGACTAATTCCTAGCCTAAAAGTCACAAGTACAATTCTAAATCTACCTGAAGAACAAGTGTCTGTTTCGTTTAGCTATATAGAATGGTCCAAATTTCTGGATATTGTTACATCCTTCATGGAACTTTCTGGAGATGGTAGTGATGTCATAACAACTGTTTCATTATCGGATACCATCATTGTTTCTACAGTTATGTGTTTTGGAGAGAGAATTATCAAGTTAACAAGCGGAGAAGTTGATTTATGTTTTTGTATAGACGATATAGAATCCATTTCATATATCCGAGAAATAATAGATTATAGGTTAAGTTTACTTATAGAACTAGATTTTAGAACTTTTTATGATAATAGTTTAAAATATTATAATGTAACCACTGTTAACGAAAATAATTTTTTAAGTGTCATAAAAGAATATTGTAATTTATATATATGTGAATTATCCTATTTTATGTTAGAATTCGTATACCTCAACCCGGAAAAAATAGTTATGGATTTCAAGAAATTATGTGTTTTAGATATCTAGTGATGTAATAATAAGGATGTGAACTTGTGAAAAATAATTTTTATGCAATAAATTCTTTAAAAACATTCGTTATTTTATTTCCATTTTAGTTTTCAGGATAAACTACAAGAGAGAGAGAGAGAAAGAGAGAGACAGAGATAGAGAGAATAAGAGTTTGTAGCAGTAGACATTCAATTTAGTATCATCATGTCTGTCGATAAGTTTGGTCGTTCACAGCGCTTAAAAACTGTTAACGAGTATAAAAATTTGGTGTTGAAACGACGTTTGGAAAACCAATCACAAGATTATGCAACGAAATCCTATATGGATAAATCATTGAGAGAATTTTTGGAAAAATTTAAAACAGATTCTGAAAACCAGAAAAAAGTCACTGAGTCACCCTCACAAGAATTATCTGGAAAGTATAAGCAGATAGAATCTTTAATCAAAGATAATCAAAAGAAAATTGAAACTTTGACAAATAAGAGCCACTCGTTTGAAAATGATTTTAAAACAGTGAATTCTTCAATGAAAGAAAGTCAAAAGAAAATTGAAAGTTTAGCCACTATGAACCAATCGATTAGCACTGATATCAAAAACAAATTGGCTCCAAGAATAGCTGCCTTGGAAGAACAACATAAGTTATTTAATATAACACCTTCATATATAAGTATTGGTGACAAGAGAATAGTCAGAGCTTCCAAAGCTATAAACGATAACGATTTAATCACGAAAGGTCAGGTGATCAAAATGATTAACGAGAAGCATCCTGTTTTACCAGCAGCAGTGGCGAATAAAAAGGGAAAAGGAAACTAAAGATGAAGACTAGAACGGGAATCAACTGGAATCACACTACTTGTATTTATTTAGTTTATGCTCATAGGAAAAAGTCAATGTTCTTGATGGTTCAATAAATTAATTTTACGGGGAGCCTGGGAACTTTTTTGATACTGTGGGAAAATCTCTAGATCGGCGGCGCCTTTAATTTGAAGTTTCGAAGGTTTGACCTAGGCGAACCCCAATTTTGAGAATTTAAAAATGGATCCGAAATGGGATGGAGTATTTTCATCAACTTCCAGATTTGCAAATGGACCAGCAACATGCAAATTGGAAAATTGTTCCAAAACCAGTGTATCAAGAATATAATATTGGAGACATTGTGCAAATTATTTATAATCCTGAGAAAACGGACATTGTCTTACACCACAAGAACGAAACTTCTATACCATTCACCTTCAATGAATTTGAGGAATTTTTACAGTTTCTCGATAATGTAAATGATGGTTGGTATGATGTAAATTTCTACATTGGAGAATTCATTTATGTTAGCTATTGGAATGAGGAAGAAAGTAAAGGTCTGACTATGGTGGATATGCGAACAATGGGAAAAATTTATTGGAATGAAAATCATCTTGATTTAATTCTAGAACATAAATATAACCTGTATGATATTTTTCTTAAATAAAAAATTGAAATAAAAAAATTATTCTGGCCTATTTCTTTTTCTCCTATACCAAAACCACAATAAATATCCCATAAATAAAACAACTACCTATGTAGAAATATAAAGTGTTTTTTATTATCAATATTTCTACAACAAAAAAAATAATAAATTCCTCCTGAATCATTATGTCTTGATCTTGTTGATGCGTTTTGACGTTTTCTCGATGCCGTTAACTCTAAAAATTGAAAATGTTTTTAGTATTAATTTAATAATTTATATGGTATACTTACAATTCAACAACTTTGAAAATTGGTGTTGGATTCAGGCCCTTAATATCTCGCATGCCTTTAAATTTCAATCCAAATTTCCCAGCCTCGAAGTGCTGAATGTTTTGTTTAATTGAATCGGTTGCACGTTGAGGAAGAAAGGTAATGTTTTTATCCATTTCTACTCGGGCTACTTCTCCAAATTTTGAATTCACTATAGTCATACCCCGAATTGGATAGGGATGCTCTGGAGTCAAATCTTGTAGCTTTAAGTAGGACTTTTCCTCAAGACAGGCTGCTTGGTTAATTTGGGGTAAATCCATGATTCTATTATTAAACTAAAAATAGAACAACGTATTATTATCAGGGTCTTTAAGAATAATGAAAAAAATTACTTACATAGTTTTTAGCACTTAATACACACACACAATCAATTATAACTGAGGTAACGCCCAATTTTGAATTAAGTTTTCGTTGAAAAATTCGATCTGGATGAGGAGCACTGAAGAAAAACGTTGTGTCACCTCTAGGGACGTTAAAATCTAACTAAAATTTGAAAATGAATAACAACAACTAGCAGGCCAGCCAGCTGCGTTTCGTTATCGTCGCAGGAAATGCGGCTTCCGTGTGATAAGCAAGTTCGCACACAAGTTGCTGTTCTTCTTGTTGTTTGTTTATGAGAACGGTAGAAATTATAATTATTTTAAAAATAATATTTGGGGCCCCCCAATTAAATCGTTACAAGTCCGTGAAAAATGGGGCCCAAATTGGAGCACTATTTTTTCAATGATGATGATGATGATGATGTTGTCTTTTATGTGACCATATTTTTAGTTTAGAAAAATGGGGCCGACGACGACGAAAAAAGGGGGCCCAGTACGGCGTATCTTGGTACGAGGTACCAGGTACGAGGTACCAGGTACGAGATACGCGGTATCAAATTTCAGGTTATGAGTTCTAGGTACGTTGTACAAATTTCAAATTACCAGCACGAGATATATGGGACATCAAATTTCAGGTTATGAGTTCTAGGCTACGTGCGCCTCAAAATTTGGGGGCCTGTATTGGTTCCATATACGATAATGGATAATGGGGCCGCGGGTCTAGCTGCGGAGACAAGTGGCCCCTTTCCGATTTTTCCCTAGATTTAGGGAAATTTTATTGGCAACGTCGCAC